GCGAGCACACCCCCCAGTTTGGGAACCTATGATCTAATGGATAATAAAGATGGGTGATCACCTTCAACTGGTAAAGCCTCTTATTTCTAACTCCTACTTCTACCATTCAGGTTTTAATAATAAAATTGTGAATTGTGCCTTTTGACATTAATGGCCACAGAAGTATGTTCTTGTGACATTTTTACTAGAAAAGAGCTTTTCAATATTTTATATGTAGTACAATCAGATAAATGGGAAGTTCATCTATACCGGCATTTCTCAAAAATCATTGTATCACTAAATTATAGCATGACTCTAGTGCCTTGTAGTCAGAAGTTAGTGTTTTAAATAAAAAGAATGCATTACAAGGCTGTATCTATGAAAAATAGCCACTAAATATTTTAATTTACAAGACCGTCTTTATATTTGGTAGTAAAAAATAAATATGCACCTAATGGGAAAGGTGAGTTTGAACTGATGAACACAAATGCATATAAGTGGGGCTCTGTGTGGCTGAAGTAAAGACAAAGGTAATCTTGAACAGTACTGAAAAAATGGCTTCACAGAGGCAGATGGATGAAAATAGCATGTGAGTTTTCAAACCTGCAGACAACAGTTTTGGATATTCTTCTCACATAGAAATCTAGAAGTTAGCAAGAGATTGTTTAGGAAATTTCAGCATCAATGTCTCATCACAAGAAAGCTTGATTTTTTTTCCCTCAGTGAAAGAAAAACCAAAAACCATCTCATACTTGAAGTGAAATATTCAAGACATTTAGGCATTCAAAAATGTCTACCAAAGCAAGCCACTTAGCATCTGCAAACTTTTTGGCAAGTAGGGAATTTTTGTCAAAGAAAAATTCTCACTTTGAGCAGTCTTTCTTTCTCTAGAACCTTTCCTCAAGACAGCCACAGAAAGTAACTGATGGTGCATAGCTCCCACCTCATAACTCCAATCAGATGTATGCTTTGTGCTATTCTTGATTAAGTTGACTATACAAATGGCCTCACACTTGTCCATGTATAATAGTGAGCCCAAAATGCTGTGTTCTGCTTCGGATGCTTTTAAGTGCTCCTTTACCAGAACTTCGCCACATACCACACATACTGTGGCCATGGATCTTCCTAGAAATCGGACCATGTAAATCCATATTCCAAATATTTTTTATCATACTTGTGGTTTCTTGGATTTTTACTGCTGTTTAGATTCTCACTTGACCTTCTTTTGCTCAAAGTGGACATCAACTCCTCTTCAGTATCTCCCTTTCCTTCAGAAACAGTCCATTATTAAAATTACAAGCAATGTTTCAAAATGATTTCAAATCAAGGTGCTAAAGTGAGCTGCCATGTAAACAAGTCCCTAAATTCAGAAAGTATTTTCTGTATGAAAGTGATGCAGGGAGGGGGAAAGGACGACACT